TAGATCATAAATTCAAGTAACTCATAAAGCTGCTGAAGTTCAATTGCTTTGCTTAAGTGTTGCCTGTTTAAGTTGTGTGACTGTTTACTAAAGTTATGTAAAATTCATTTTCTTTGTTTTTTTCTTTCTGTGCTGGATGACCTAAGTTTTACACAAAGACTATTCAGAATTTGATTTCTAGTTCACCTTAAAGATGACTTACGTTTCCTCATATAACAGATCTGAACTACTTGTTTGCAAGTTACTCTGTAGCAAAACTGTTTATCTGAATTTTTTCTCAAACAAAAAGTACATGTTAATTTAAGCCTGAATATGATTCATAATATACAAAAATGATCAGTAATCCATTTTCCTCTTGCTCACTCTAGTGCAACACATTGCTATAATAATGCTATACATAAGTTGTTTTATTTCTCTATACTGCCTAAACTGTCTCTACTTATTTTATAGATATGATAAAAGCTACTTATCATTATCATATCTGTAATATATAAGCACATTGCAACATTAACCTTATTTGGTTTCTTCTTTCCCAGTCTTAACAGAAATAATGTGTAGTATTTGTAGGGAAGGACAGTGAACAGAAATGAATGACGAAAGAGAGCTCTGTATATTTTCAGGGAAAGCTAAACTGGATGGGTTAGTTTTACATGTGGTTTTATGTTTAATCTTACAAATTACCAGTAAATCACCTGTAGCAACAACAAAAGTGAAAAATATGAAGAAGGTGAAATTCAGACAGAAGTTTATGTTGTGTAGAACCAGCCTTATATTTAAAGGTTATAATAGTTTTTTCTGTGCCATGAAAACATCTTATAATGTTGTGCTCTTTCCTCCATTAGCCATTTCTTGTGGACATCCTGGGGTACCTGCCAATGCAGTTCTTTCAGGAGACAAATTTACATATGGCTCCATAATTCACTATTCTTGCACAGCGGGTCGAAGACTCATAGGAAATTCTACTAGGGAGTGCCAAGAAGACAGTCACTGGAGTGGGACTCTCCCTCACTGTTCAGGTACTTGTACCAACCGTCATCTGAATGTCACCTTGAAATTACATGAATAAGGCTAGTCTCAAGCAATTTTTAACTACAGTCAGAGCTTTGTTTTGTTTCTTTTCCAAGTGTATTTTAATTTCACCAACAGCCACTCAGCCATTTATTGAAGTATTCTATATATTATCTCAGTCTCGTTGTCATTACCTGTGACCTTACTCCTTAGCTAGATGCTATAGTTGTATACTGCAGTATACAGAAGCCACAAAACACTATTTAAAACCTGATAGAGTTCTGCTTGGAAAGGATGCATGTATTAAATTTTAGTTTTATGAACACTGTTATGTGTAAACAAAGGTCATCACATAGGAGAATATTGATTAAAGAACACCACAGCAATGGTACTAGATGGTAAACTTCATACATTATGATTCTCTTTTCACTTACAGAAATATTCTTTATTAGTGTCACAATGTGCAAATACCATGAGCCTCTGCAATGTTCTTGGTGCTGTCAGAAAGTACAGGAACAATTTATTTTCCCCCAGACGAACTGTGGAAATTTAGAAGAAGCCATAAAACGTTACACAGTTTTGTTGAAGTCAAAGGCTCAGATGAGGATTGACTACTAAGGACTTCCACAGTGTATTAATAAGTTTTGTAAGGGAAACAAGTTTACACACTTTGATATATAAGAAAACAAATACCTGACAGGTTTAAGAAAAAAATTTCCTAATGAGAAATTTTCCATAATTGCACATTATAGAATCTTCTTATAACTTCCTGTAAGCTCTTGGACATGTCCAGGGTTGGGCTGATCTGAATCAGTGTGGTTCGATTCAAATTTGACCTAATTTAAATAGGTGTAAGGTATTTAAATTCTGTACTTTGAAGAAGCTCTAAATAAGTGTTCATTGAAAATGGTCTGTTCATAAGCTGATTCTGCAAGGTTGCTGAGCAGAATTTGAAAGACTGAAGAAAGGAAGTTAATTTAAATCACTGATGTTTCTTTTCTGTTCTCTGCTGCTCAAGGAGGAAAGAGTTTATAGAGTCTTCTCACACCACTAGATCTCAGTGCCATCATGGCCTCTATGCCTAGATCCGTAAGGAATTTCTGCAGGATGATCATATGGATAGTTTCGACATGGAATTGGCCTTTTCTTGTTTATCTTAAGCCCACATTTATGTCACTTTCACCTTTTTATCCAGTATAAAATGCCAGACATGAGATTGCACCAAGGCATCAAAATTTTTAAGGTCAGAGCCCGCTAGTGCTGTTACCTAACATTTCCCACCACAAAGGAAATTCTCATGCTGGTAGAAAGAAATCTTAATATCTAATAATTGAGACTCTTCAGATATCAGTCATGGATATGATAGTATTTTTATAGACTCATAGATTTATAACACGTTAAAGACCACTTTAGTCATCTCCCATGATGGGGAAAATGTCTAGTGTAACTAAAACATTGTTACTGATGCAGATTTTAGTTTTCTAAGTTTTAATATGATGTGACACCGTCTTGAGAACAAGGTGATTCCCTGGGAAAATGAGAAATCTATCTGTTAACTCAATTAAAAAAACAAAAGCTCCCAAACAGCAAAAAAAAAAAACTAAAAAGGTGTCTCATTCCTCTAAGGCATCTAGAATTACAAAAATAACTACACTTTCAGTGTTAGGTATTCAGGAGATTACTCCGTTAAAAAAACCAATATGAATAATTTGTATTCATAATGTCAGTGAAAGAATCATTGTGCCTAGGACAACTGAGACAGCTAATTGGTTTTATACTTAAGGGATATGAAAAACAGTCCCAATATAATACTGGAACCTGTAGTCTGTTTCTGCATTGGGTTTATTTCTTTATTATATATTAATATATGTTTCAATGCATGATGGCATAAATATGATCTCAGGGTTTGTCGTCACCTGGGACCTGTTGCAGTGACGGATGCTTGTTTCTTATGAGATAAGTGATAGTCGAGATTTTTGTTTATGATGGCTCACACTCCTTTTTTGGTAATGGTTATGTAGTCTTCTACATTGCTAAATAAAAAAGGGTCTAGACCTTCATAATACTATAACTGCCTTTGTCTATGCCCTTTGACTATAAACTTGCATGGCTCCAGTTTAAACTTTCTCCAAGACAAACCTAGGTGTGTCCAAGAAAAAAAAAATCTGATCATTCATCTGGAATAATTCCCTCAGCAAAGTCCCAAAGCAAAGTGAGACATCATCAGAATTTTAGTCATAGATCCTTCAGCCCTGAACAATTCCTGCAGTCTTTGCATTCAGAAGCCAAAGTATGTGCCACATATCTGTTTTGATGCCGTAAAAATGTGACAGTGGTAGCCTGAGTCACAACCCACATGTTATTTCACACATTTTAAGCAGACAAAAATGTCTGTGAAATAGTGATGTCTTGGAGTAAGGGAAAGCAGATGGCATCCAGAGGCCACATATGGACCGCTGATTGAACAGTGCCAGGGCATAGGCCATAGATGCTACTACTTGATCACCACGACCATTATACTCTTAAATTGTCCCCAGAATGGTTTTGACCCATCCCAACTAGCACTCCACCAAACAACGCAGAAATACTTTGCAAGTTAACGTGCGCTGGAGATCACTCTCAACAGGCATTTTGGATGCAGCCACCCTGTTTTGGAGAGTGAGTTTAACAGTATAGCTGTGGACAAAATATACTGGCTGGATTCAAGACACTCACACTGTTTACAAGCACGTATTTAGACAAGGAAATCTAGGTCCAAATGCTGTAGGGCAGGGTGACAAGGACGATCTGTTCTGAAAGAAGGTAATACTGAGCAAAGTGGACACAACCGAAGCCCACGAGTTAGCCTTGAATTCAGGAAATGTGTCTTGGTCTCCTGTTATGAGGAAGCATGATTGTATCCAAAGTCTCTGTCTCAAACTTACTATATTGAAAACTTTATGACACACACGTAATCATACTTATGACTTCAGAAAATTTTCATTTCTAAAATAAAAGTTTGAGTTTTCTCAGCATTTTGCTATTTTTATTCCTTTGTTAAAGATCTTGTTCTTCATCTGAGAAGTATACCGGTGATGAAGAACCTGGATAAGAACATACAGTTTTCAACCTATGGAGTTATTTATGCATATTTTGAAAAAAAACTCATACTATAGTTTTAACAGAAATTCAATCTAGATGTATAACTTAAAAATGGAGAACAAAGGATAATGCTGCTATGAACCACAGTTTAGACACAGAGGCTTTTAGGAGAGATACAATTTTCTGTCAAAATTTATAATAAATTCTTGATATTAAGACCATACTTCCTTGACCATCTTGGGCAGCGTTTCCTGTAGCAGCCGCTTTACCTGATAAGGCAGTTGACTGGCTCATCAGACCTAGGAGGACATGTTTGAGAGGTCTGTTTTGCAGCACCTTCTTTCTCTTCTAAAATTGTAACCAATACTTGTGTAGGAATTTAAAGGATAAGGAAAATTATGAGGTGTCCTTTCCGTTCTTGACAGGCACAGATGGCCAGGTACCATTTAATCTTTCCTGTGGATATATGTTTTTCACATATATTTCTTAGGAAACTTGAATATGATTCTCTTCACTCTTGCTGTTATCTAATTTTTTTTAATTAGGAGTTATTACTAGCAGAGAAGTTGAACCATAAAATACAATGTATAGAAAATGGTATTTATGTGTAAAAGACAACAAATTTGTTGAATTGACAAAAAATGACAGGGCTGCTTCCTGTGTTCTCAATTGTCTTTTATTCATATCACATTGTGTGTTTACGTCTGTATAGGTCTGAGACAAGAAGTCGGCTAAAAAGACATGTTATTTCATCCTTGTCTTTGGTTTCACGCCCTCGCACTGGAAGAAAAGTGATTAATTGTAACAGAAACAGCGCAGTTAGTAGTGCTATTCGCAAGAGAGTAGCTTCACTACCAGTCCATTTGCCCATAGCGTCTCTGCCAATAATTCTGCTCTGTTGTGTTTTACAGGAAATAATCCTGGCTATTGCGATGATCCAGGAGTACCAGCTCATGGGTCTAGACTAGGGGATGAGTTCAAAATAAAAAGTCTGCTACGTTTCTCATGTGAAATGGGTTATCAGCTGAGAGGATCTGCAGAACGAACATGCCTGCTTAATGGTTCCTGGTCAGGTATACAGCCTGTGTGTGAAGGTAGGTATCGATACCATTAGCATTTATGACACCATTGAATGACATTTACTAATGACATTTTATTCTTTAATTAAAAAGAAATTGTATGTTAGAAATACACTTTCATATTGCTCTGCTGAAATTTGATATAAAAGAGTTTGCAAGCAGTTTGCTTGAAAACCTAAATCCAAACTGATAAAGTTTTGAAATAGATATTTATAAGAAGATTGTGAGAACATAATTCTAGTTAAACAAATAGTGAGCCTGCAAATAGAGAATAGATACCTGAGTTAAATGTAAAATTAAACAAATGCTTGTGATTGAAGATATGAAAATAGAGTGATCTCTTTCTATGTAATGTCTATGCATCAAGAACTGAACAGATGATGAAATAAATTTGTATTCTTAACTAAGTATAAATTAATGTATTTTTCCCCACGTTAGACTGATTTTTAATGAGATATACTATTTTTATGCCAGCTCAGAAGAAATGCAACAGAGAATATTTCTGGAAATTATATTTTAGAATAAGATAAAAATATAATAAAGAATTTCTACACTTTTTATGCACTGACAGAATTGGAAAGCAGTAATGGAAGACTTTAGATTCAGTTTTTAAAATGGCTCCTTGTTTTCCAAGAAAGTTTGGAAAGTTACTTTATCTAATTCATTCGTGTTGATGGATTCTGTAGTACCTGTTGTCTGTTACACTGAATGATAAAATGGAAGATAGTACAAAATATTTTTAACAAATTTGTTATATTTTTTCACCTAGGGATTTTATCACAGTATCTTCATCTAACAGTTGTTCTTTTGCAGTATTCTTCAGCACAGACTGATCTTCTGTCAATGTAGATATCGCCATAACTATGTGAAAATGGCAGTGGGCACAGGATCAGTTTTTTCAGCAGAAAACTGAAATTTTTCAGTGTCCTTCCTTCTTCCCTTGCACGAAGACTTTTAGTAGGACAGCAGCACTCAGTGGCAGTTAGTGGTGCTTGGAATGCTGCTGTTTTTTCTTTCTTGATCTTTTTGCTTCAACCTTCTGTTTTCAGAAAACAGAAAAAAAACCCACAAACAAAGAAGAAAGCTTCTTTCTTTCCATTTTTCTCTTCTCCTTTAATTGTTTCCTCTTTGGTATAAATAAAGATTAGATTAGGACAGTACCTTTTCACCCCTACAAGTTCAAGTTCCGACCTACTGAATTTTTCTCTTCGGTATTTGAAACTTTTATACATAAAAAGTGAATAAGACTTCATTAAAACAAAGGCATTTAAGTATTATTCCAAACATTAGTAATACTCAGAGTAATTTTTAGTTGGCACATTGTGTTTATTTTAGTGAATCCTAAGATCTACAACTATTAGCTTATAACTTTCAGATTCTGTTATGCTGGGCGCCATCCAGCTGGGAGTCCTGGGTGACAACAAGTTGAACAAAATCGGCAAAGTGTCCTTGCTGCACAGAAGGTTAATGGTATCCCAGGCTGCCTTAGGAGGGAAGTAATCCTTCCCCTCTACTTAGCACTGGTGAGGCAACCTCTGGAGTGCTGGGTCAAGTTCTGGGCTCCTCAGTACTAGAGAGACATGGACCTACTGGATGGAGTCCAGCAAAGGACCATTAAGATGATGAAGGGACTAAAGATGGAGCCAGGCTCTTTTCAGTGGTGCCAAGTGACAGGACAAGAAGCAACGGGCATGAACTGAAACACAAGAGCTCTGTCTGAACATCAGGAAATGCTTTTTTACAGCGAGGCTGACCAGGTCCTGGCACAGATTGCCTGGAGAGGTGGTGGTGTCTCCATCCTCGGAGACAGTCAAAAGCTGTCTGGATATGGTCCTGGGCAACTGGGTCTTGGTGGCCCTGCTTGACCAGATTACGTCCAGAGGCCCCTTCCAATCTCAGTCATTCTGTGATTCTTTGATTCTGTGATTCACATGAATAGGAAGATGCGGTAAATTGAATTAAACAAATATGAGGGAATGTAATAAGTAAAGTATTAGAAGTAGTGCTAGAATTATTTTGTAGTGAACTGCTGTCAAATTATTATTTTGTCAAATGTGAAGCATCTGCAGACTTCTTGTCTTCACATAAATTCCGTAAATACATTTAACCTTAATGAATGCATCCAGGCTTTCTTAATGCAGCTCAGTGTTGCACCTTGACTAGTATCTGCACATGGTCTTTAATTTGTGTTATTAGTATTATCATAACATCACAGAATGGTTTAGTTGGAAGGGACCTTAAAGACCATATAGTTCCAACCCCCCTGCCACGGACAGGGACACCTCCCACCAGACCAGGTTGCTCACAGCCCCATCCAACCTGGCCTTGAACACTTCCAGGGGTGGGGCAGCCACAGCTTCTCTGGGCAACCTCTGCCACTGCCTCACCACCTTCATGGTGTAGAATTTCTTCCTAATATCTAATCTAAACCTTCCCTCTTCCAGTTTAAAGCCATTGCCCCTTGTCCTATCACTCCATGCCCTTGTAAAGAGTCCCTCCCCAGCTTTCTTGTCGACCCCTTTAGGTACTGGCAGGCTGCTCTAAGATCTCCCTTCATGCTCCATGGAAGACTGAAGGAAAGAGTTTGATTTAGATGCACATTTCTTACCAACTCTTGATTAATCCTGTTAATCTCTTAACTTCATGATAGTTTTATTTTATTCCTATGAAGAGGAGTAGTTTCTGTCCAACAGTGGAACATTATCATACTTTTTCCAGTGTTCTGTCTGCTAGGATGGTCAAATAAAGATGCTTTAGAGGAAAGTGGTTAGAAAAATTCAAAACAAACAAACAGATCCTTCTTATGATTGGCTGGTGCACTGGAAAAAAAAACCCACACTAAACCCTCCCGAAAACCCAACATGTAGTCAAAGTAAACCACTGTCAAATCTCAGATGTATGAAGCTGAAACATAACTGTTGCCTTTATGTATAGCTACAGATGCCAAAAAGATACGGAGGCCAATACAGAGTGTTTCTTCTTTTCTTCATTCAAAAAAGAAATGGACAAGAAGATCATAATTTTCTATTTATGTATGTTTATAATTGAAAGAGGACATACCAAAGGCAGGAAGAGAATAGAAAAATGTGCCCAAAGGCAAAACAGAGGCACAGGTCTGTCAGAAAGTCCTGAATGAGCTTTCTTCTCTCCAGTGCCTTTACTGGGCCGAGTGGAACAAGCAGTGCAAACTATCTGAATCAGCAATTGAAAAAACAAAACAAAACAAATACAAGTAAAATGATCACATTAACAAAGAGAAATAAGATACTAATTCAAGAATATGCCTATTAAACATTTTCTTAGGAAAACTTGCTATAGCTTTTTTAAAGGATGGGTTATTGACTTACTCTTTCTTTTTTTTTTGTTGTTAGTTACCTGTCGTGGAAATATTGACTATTTTGTAACCTTTTCTTAACAGCTGTATCTTGTGGGAACCCTGGCACCCCAGCCAATGGTATGATAATATACACTGATGGAATATTGTTCTCCAGCTCAGTCATTTATGCCTGCTGGGAAGGTTACAAAACTTCAGGGCTAACTACTAGACATTGTACTGCTAACGGGACATGGACTGGCACTGCTCCAGACTGCACAGGTCAGAAATAAACTTTCTTCCTCTACAGCTTTAAAGTAGTAAGTTATCCAGCCTTTCTACAGAAAATGATTATTTTGTTAGATAAAATAACACATTTTTTCCCCATTTATCTGCCTTGTGATACCTGAATATTTTGTATATCTAAAACTACATGCCATTTTGTTACATGCTAGATGTTTCCAGAACTATCTTTTTAAGATGGATACATAGGTAACTTTTCTGTATTTGTTTACCTCATGAATGGCAACATCGAAAATATAATATTATTCCTAAGAGTGGGTGTTCCTCTACAGTTTCCTTTAGCTTTTTCTTTTTTTTTTCTTTTTTCTTCTCTTTGTGGCTTACATACAAAGAATGAAGTTCTGCTAGGTCTAAATCAGATTTTACCTAATTAGATACATTACTGTGCCAGTTCTTACTGTAAGCCAAATGAGTCAGATCTGACAGATAACCATTCTGCTAAGGACCAAGAATCAGGGAGCAGCAACATTGGGCTGCTCCATCAAGGAAAGCGAGCAGGGAGCAGAGGAATGCTGCAAGGCCAGGAGGGCCGGTGGCCTCACTGATAAGGCCAGACCCACAGTACATCAGTAGGGTGATACAAAAAAAACCAGAAGAATTTCATAACTCCGCTGGAATTGCATCACACCATTAACATTAGCATAATGCGACAAAGATCTCAGTATGAAAGAAGAAAATGTCCCATCAAAACTACCACTGACATAACAGTCTGCGGTGGCGGTCGAGCGTACCAGCTTAAGCTAGTGTATTTAAGGAACACAATATTTGGCCCACGCTATTGCAATGCCTGAAAAATGACTTCTTAGCTAAAACTTAAAGATTACGGTTTTGATTTTGTGTGAAATACATTAAGCAAATTTTTTCTTGTTTTGTGCACCGAAAAAAGGACATTGGCTATACATAGTTCAATGTTTCATTACATGTTTATTGAAAAAAAAAAAATTCCCTTTTTTTATTTTCCTCACTAGTGATAAGCTGTGGAGATCCAGGTGCATTAGCAAATGGCATTCAGTTTGGAAATGATTTTACCTTTAACAAGACAGTCAGCTATCAGTGCAACCCAGGATACTTGATGGAGCCTGCCAGTTCATCTACCATGCGTTGTATAAAAGACAGCACTTGGAACCAGAGTAAACCAGTTTGCAAAGGTGTGCTTTTGAACTTAAATAGTTTACAAATACTGTTTTGACACAATATGTGAGATTCACTGATCAGGGTCTTTATTTGTAAAAAATTGTCAAAAAATTCTCTGGGACAATTAACATGCAAATGCAACTAAATTAGATAAGTATTTGTGTAAAATTTTTATTTATTTTGCACATATGCTGTGGTATAATATCAGACAGAATAGTGACATTATTGGCTACAGTAGAACCAAATCACTTTGCAATGAAGATTATCAGAGTGCTCAGTTTAAAACGCTAGGAATGAAGTACCCATTTTGCTTTTTGGGCCCTTTTGTCTCGGATTAGACGGCCAAAATTCTGTAAGTGGATCCTGCAAACTAAACTTTCTATAAAAGATTCCCTTGTTGCAGTAGTGTAGGCATCATAAATAGCCAAAAAGATACTTCACAAATAGCTAATTACAAGCATTAACATAAAGGTCATAGTGGGAATGAGGCTAAAAGGCAAATAAGGCAATCTGGTGAAAATTGTTAGCGCTGCTACAACAGCTCAGGGAGTAAATTTAACAGCCTAGGGCATCTTCTGCTTATAAAAGGCCTAGACCACCAACTCATTTAACACCACTTTAAAGTGATGTCTAAGTCTAGCCTACTAATTAAATTTTGGCATATGTATTAGACTGACCATGTTTTCTGTTGTGAAAATTCCTGACTGAGTGATTTTATGGTGGTTCTTTGTTTAAAGAACTGATTTGTAAATGTAAACTTGGTCATTCCAGATTTCATCATTTTGGGCACTCTTTCAGAAGCTGGAAAACACCAGAATATTTTTAAAAAATCTTAGCCACTAATTACCAATAAAGTCAATGTCCATTGTGCACTGAAAGCCTTAGAAAATGAGCAGGTGAATGAACAAAGTCATAGTAAGGGCTTTAAATAGTGCTGCAAAATTAGTTTAAAATAAATGCAAATATTTAGAATCATAGAATCATAGAAACGTATTTATTGAAATAAATTGTATTTATTGAAAATTTTTACCTAGCTCAGCAGCCTGTTGCCAACAATGATCAGTAATGAGTATGTAGGGAAGAGATTCAGAACTAGGTAAGCTATATACTCTTCTGACTTCCAGCAGCCTAGAGCTCAGGGACTTCCTAAACCTAGAGCGGGTATTTTTGTATTTAAATTGGTTTTCTGTCTATCATCTCAGGCTGCTTTGTCGACACAGGAATGCTTTGTTGGAACTGAACAGCATGAAATATTTTTTGTTACTTTCAAATATATGAGTAGATATTATGTTGTATTCTCCTAAACCCTATAAAGTCTTGAAACTGTAACTTTTCTTTTTGTGACACAGCTATTACCTGTGGCCCCCCTCCACCAGTACTCTACGGGAAAGTGGAAGGATCTGATTATCGCTGGGGTGCCAGTGTGAGTTACAGCTGTGCAGAAGGCTATCAGCTATCTAACACAGCTATTCTCTCCTGTGAGGGTCGAGGAATTTGGCGGGGAGACATCCCACAATGTTTGCGTAAGTTTTCAGGGTACAGTTGTGTTGGGCTTCACCAAAGCTACAATCAGTTCTCTCACAGTTTAAAACAGTCATTTTCTCACAGTTTAAAAAAGGACTCAGCTAGATCATGTAATACATGGACTACTGCAGGATTTCTTCCATAAAGCATACCTTGTTATGAAATTGAGTGGTTGTGCCCATTTAAGGTTATGGTCTTCTTCCTTTCCCCAAAATTCATGTCCATTTCTTATTACCTAACGGGACCCATCACCATTTGCCTTACTGATAAACGTTTTGAGTGTTCTGAATTTCACTTGTGGTGGGCATGATTAAAATTTTCCCTTACACTTTTCCTTTTTTCTTCTCTGTTTCCATTTCCACTAACAGATGAAAGCAAAGATCCTAACCCTTGCTCTCCTTTCTAAATTCTTTTTTCTTTCCTGAAGGCAAGTACATAGCCTCATATCTTGTTTGTATTTGTTTTTCAGCTTCTTCTAAATCTGTCAACTTATCTCTTTCAGTGCTTGAAATCTTGTCAGGACTCTGACAAATATTTTTCCTTTTACTTAATTAGGGCAAAAATTTCCAGCCTACTCATCTGAGGGTGACTGATGTGAAAACTGGATACATGTTGAAGCATTACAATATAGCGTTGTCTACTTTGAGATTACTTTTTGTCATCCAAATCTAAGCAGCATTTAAGTGTCTCAATTAAAAGGTCTATTTTTCCAGGTTAAGTTTTGTGCTTATAACAGTGACAATTAATTTTAAATTGCTGTCAAGAATTTATCTGAGCTACAATCCTACACAGATAAATGAACATAGCATTTGCACTCGTATTCAGGATGCCTGGCTTGCACATAAACCAATGTAGAATACTTCAGTTGAAGCATGTGCAGATTTTAAGAACTTCTTTTTTCTTGCCTTTTTTTATGTATTAGCTGTGTTTTGTGGTGATCCTGGTACTCCAGCAGAAGGACGCCTCAATGGAAAAAGTTTCACCTACAGATCTGAAGTTAGCTTTCAGTGCAGACCCCCTTTTATTCTGATAGGCTCTTCAAGAAGATTCTGTCAAGCAGATGGTACTTGGAGTGGAATTCAGCCAACATGCATTGGTAATAACTACCACTACTCATGCTGTTTCTACTGAGAATATTCTTAATAAACTATTACACTATCATAAATCTAGCAATTAGCTTTCCAAATATAGAAAATGTCTGTGTAATATAAAAAGAACTAGATATATAAGGTTGTATTTTGAGTATTAAAATTTTAGGATAAACACAATCACATATGAAGTCGTTTGTAAATGTAAATGTACATGATTGCTTGCCTGCTGGAAATGCAGAATGTCAGTAAGTGCAAGTGCATAAATTTGTTCCGTCTATTTTTAGAATCTTTTAGATACGCAGAAGACTTTGGCAGATTAAAGACCAGATTCTGTCACTGGAGAGTTAAAGGCGTTTGTCAGAATCAGTGCTAAATCAAAAAGCTTTTTGGACTTTGTGAAAGTGGCTTGTACAGCTCAAAAGGACGAAGCGTGCTGGGTCTGAGATTTTGAAATTCTGATAAACTGCCAAGTACTATCAGTTTCTCATTGACTGATGTGCAACTGATAGGCTTTTAGCATGTTACATAATCAGACTAAGTGAGAGAAATGCTGGACACCTGTAACTCCCACTGACATCACAATTTGATCCAACGTGGGGTGACTTGCCAGAGAAGATGATTTTGGTGGTACAATAGAAAAATCCTTTTTGACATTTCTGAACAAACACATTCAGATATAGACTGTAGCCAATTCATATATATTCTGCTGTGGCTGAGATATTGGCTATGTGGAAGAGCTGGGAAGCATGATTATTGAAAGCAGCCTGTATTTGTATCTTAAGACATTAACACTCAATACAATTCTTTGATATGAATTCAAAACCCCTTCTGTCCATAGTTTTTATGAACTGGGAAATCCATCTTACATCTATGTTTTGTAACAGAGGCAAGATCTCATGTTTGTCATGAAGAATCAAATTTGAAAATACCATAATGACATTTCTATTTATGTTTTATATAGCATATTATAGAAGTACATGGAAAGTACTGCATCAAAGACATAAGCTTTTTTTTTTTTTACATCATAGTTTTTATGTTATCGTAAAAGGAAAACATTAGACTGTCTAAAATATTTACAGGTACCACTGTTAAGCAATTTGAGAATTAAGATCAGTGAGCAATACCTAGAACTATGCCTAAAAGTACCATATTGCAAATGATGGCAAGCTTTTCCGTTTCTGGATATAGATAATTTCCTTAAAATACTTTGAGAATTCTTCCTTGTTTCCCCACTGTTTCTTCCGATGAGCCATGTCTTACAAAGGAAATTCAGCTTCACGTCTCTATTATTAGCAATGGCATTCCAGCTGATGGTAATTTGTAAAAGTTCTTGAGCTGTTCAAGCAGCTCAACGTCAGGAGTGTGTTTGGTTTTTATTCTTGCACCTTAGGTCACCATCCACCTAACTTTTGAAGCCTTTCATAAAAATCAGTCCAGTTGAATTGCTATGCTCAACTGATGGTCAACATTGAAAATGGAATTTGACCAAGAGTGAAATGACATATCACATTATTGTACGTGATAAGTTCAATTTTCCCTCTACAGAAAACTAAAAATGGTTACGGATGAAATGTAGTCCCAACTTGCATTCTTCATAATGCAGTGTCAGCACAAAAGCAGAATTGGTGGCCAAGAGGGAATAGTACAGAAAGAGCCATCGGATCGGGTCCTGTGCTCTCTACCTGGTGGATGTGACTGGGCAACCCCAAAGCAAATACACTATCAGAATGTGAAGTGGACATTGCTTAATCAAAAATAGTTTCAGGCTGCTTTAAATTACACTCACAAAACTGATCATCAGATAGTTGGTTATACTCTGTTGGCATACCTTTTTTTTTTGGAGGGGGACTGTCTTTTCATTCTCCAGCAACAACTGAGGTAGTAGTCCATTTGAAACTTTTGTTTTTTTGGTGATGTAGAAAAAATTCTATCAAAAATGTATTTTACTTGCTACAAGAAAGCAGATTGGTTTTGTGTTTGGTTTTTTTTGGGGGGTGGTTTTTTTTTTTAGAAATGTAACTTAATTATTAATCTGTTTGTTGGGAAAGAAGAGAAGAAAAAGATTTCCCTATAACTTCCATCCACATTGTGGATAGTGAGATATACTATGTATTCAAAAAGATTTAAAAGAATAAGCTTAGAAAAAATTAATGCAATCCTAACCCTAAAGTCTACACTGCCAGAGGTACCTGCAAAAAATACCATTAAGTAATGGCAATGTACTGAAACAAACTACTGTGATCTATCTTGGAAATTTAATTGGAAATACAAATGTAATATATAGAAATACACACATTCCATTAAAAATTCAGTTCTTATCATCACTAGACATTGATGAAATTACTTAATCTTTGCAAACAGTTTTAGAGTATTCTTTCCGTACCATAATAATATCTGTTGTGTTTCACATTCTACATTAGATCCAGCTCACAATACATGTACAGACCCTGGTACTCCACATTTTGGAATACAAAACAGTTCCAGAGGTTATGAGGTAATTCTTTTATTTATTAGCTTTCTAAAATGAAGATGCATTTAATAATTACAAATATATTAAATTAGCTGTCAACTGAAGTGTCTGATGTAAACCTTAGGAAATTTCCACTTCTTTTTAATAAAAACTCATGCTTCATTCCAAGCTTCTTTTTTTAACATACAGCTTAAAGAAAGAACTTCTAACCTTCTAACCTTGCAATATATCATGTGTTCAGTCCTTTAGGAGACTTCAGTAGGGACGACTATTTATAAATTGATTACCTAATATGATATGACATGATATAATTACTTTGCTTTATGATCATAATTCTTTCATACATTGATGAATAGTCAGTAAATACCTAAAAACTAAAGTCTTGTCTGATCCAAAGGCCATGTAGTCCTTGACAAAAAAGTCAGCAAGTGGCTTTACTAAATTAGCAATTCATGTTACATTTTATTCAGTCAGAGAAAATAAAATTTTTCTATATGTATTGGATCCAGGTTCTCAGTGATGAATGTCCTTTCTGTAATTTCCAAATTCCTCACAGGTTATTAGTTTACCAAGTGACAGTCAGAAAAGTGACCGAGGAAGTAAAAGTAGATTCAACAATGACCAAGCCACAATCATTATATAGATTAACCTCTTGTGGATAGATTCTTCAGGTGTAAATAGTTGTGATTGGAATCTAAAATATGTTCTGTTTGGGTTTCCTGCTTATTTCTGAACCTCGGGCAGTGCGCCACATGTTATTATGATCAAGTTAGTAGAACTGTTTTTCAAAAAGTCCTTTCTGTACGTTCCTCTAGGTATTGGTACCCTCCCTCCCCTGCAATTGTGTGGTCTGTCATTACTGTTGCTGCCAGCTCTTTCTTCACCTTCTGCTCCTGCCTGGCTTTCAGATGCCAAGGCCCTTCTCCCCATGCCACATCTTGTGGCTTCACCCCTAAGGTGGTGGTTCTTCTAGTAATAGGTGCAGTTACCTTTCTGTCTGTTGTCTTATCTTGACCTGTACCTGTCCCCATTAATCACTTCCAAACCAACTCTAATCTTTGCACCTAATTTGATCAGGGGATTGGGTTTTTTTTCCTCTCTCTTTTTCGTCTACTTCACAAATTGTCTTTAATACCAGAACTGTACTGGCCAATTCACCGTTCTAATCTCTGTTGAACATGAAGGCTGATTTTCTTTTCTCATTCACCTCTAAAGGCAGTAGTAGGACTTCATGTGTTCTGTATTTAGTCTTTCTCAATATGTGCTTTCAGTCTCAGATCTCTATCTGGTACAACAAGATGTAGACTTCCCTCCAATTACTAGTGAAGTAGATAGATTTTATTTTTTTTTTTTGCATATGTCATTAGTGGGACTTTCTCTTTGTATGACTTAGCCAAGCTTCTATAAACCAGCTTTTAACAGTCTTTCCTCATTACAGAAAGATGTGATGAAAGGCAGCAGACCTTTGAAGGGTTTTCCCCTACCTACCAGCATCCTGTCTTGCCCCATTCATTTTGTGCCTTTTGTGCTCTACTGTGCGGTGACTGTTACAAATGCCTCCAATGTTTCTTCATCCAAGTATTATACAAAGAATGTGCTGCTTTTATTTTTAATTTTACCTGTAAAATGAGAAAGAAATATAACTCTGTCATTACACTGAACCTAGACCTGGTCTTTTCTTGGTCTTTTGGATCAGTGAGGAAAGATTTGCAGCTTATCATTACTTACTGATACCAGAATTGGCAATTTCACAAGAAGGAAGATGACTTGGACTTTGTTCTAGTCTTTGCTACAGACATGCTGTGTGTCCTTGGCAAGATAGAGATGAATATGTTTAAAAATAGTTATAAAAGATATGTCTACAAAGCCATATCAGTAATTTGACCTTTAAAATTACCAGTGAATTTCCCAAGTCACTTCAGGAAGAACTGGTGTTGCATTTGCTGAATATCTGCCATGATAATCTGTTTTTATTTAACTGAGTATGTAGTTAACAGGTAGCCACTTTTGAATATAACTGCCCATTTTTATTGTCCATTGAAATCCTTCTATGACATTTGCAGTGTAGAGCTATCTGCATTTATATACCTGCAAGCTATTTTATTAATACACATTGATCACTACTCATTTGCAACTTACTTGCATTTGTCCGTATAATGTGTTACTTTATTAATAATACATTTAATTTTTGTGGGGGTTTTTTCATTTTTTATTTCATATTTATTGCCAAAATGTTTTATCCAAAACAAAAGCAGTGCTTTACTGCTCAGCACTGCATCCTTAAATATCTTCGCCTGGAGTTGTATTCTGGTAACTTTTATCAATACTGTCAATAAGTCCATTTTAGTAGAACTTTCCGCACTATCTCTCTCTCGTATGTTATGAAAATTCTTCATCATGTGTAATTTTGTATCCAGTTTTCATGCTTTTCTATTCTCAGTGGAAGTCTGAAGAGAGTTTTCTCAGTTTCTTTACCTTTTCTTCGGAGAAAGGTCGTACCACAGTTGACCGTAGGAAGGTTTTCCACAGCATCACTCTGCTCGTTGAACATCTTAAGTAAAACTTAGGTAGTTTGTAGTAACAAATGCAGTGTAAGGAATTGTGGCCTGGAGTTTTGTCTAGTTAATTTATTTGTAGATGGAACAGTTCTTCATGGTTTTATCTTTTTCCTTTTTCCTCTCAAAAACCATTTTTAGTGAAGTCACACAATGAGAGGCCTTTAAACAGACTTTATGGTCAAGTTCTATTGAAATATATGGAGTGACATACAGGAAAGATAGACATCTCAGTCATTTAGTTTGCTTCTGTCACACTGACAAACTAATAAGCTGCAATGTATGAGTGTTGTTCTTTTCTATGTCCATAGCTTTGTCAATATTTTTCCACTTACTGCTTTCAAATAAGGTTACAAAAGATCAATTCCTCAAACTTTTCATCATACTAAAAAAAAATTAAGCCTAGAAACTGTAAAAAGAGGACTTTTTTTTTTTTTTAAAAAAAAAAATATCCCTAGCAGGTTATCACTGTCTTAATATCGGAGTACATGTGACGGATACCTCTTTTATCTAATATTCTGTTTTGATCCTTAGGTTGGAAGCACAGTTTTTTTCAGATGCAGAAAAGGTTATCATATTCAGGGATCTACCACCCGTTCTTGTCTTGCTAACCTAACTTGGAGTGGCATACAGTCTGAATGCATTCGTAAGTCTGGTTTCTTATCTAATGAGCTAATATTGTGCAACTTTTTAAAAGTTACAAAGTGATGCATGTGGAAATTAATAGTAAAATATATGCTACAAAAAAGTAAACTTTATTTTAAACAGCATTTTTAAATGTTTTTTGTTTCCTATTCTAACACTAAAGATATATTTGGGATATTAATTTGAAGTAAGATTTTCCAGACTTTTTTTTCATGAAGTTCACAGTAATTCTACCAGTTTTATTCAAAAAATCTGACCTCATTAACTCACTGCATTAGCTGCTTTAAATTAATCTAGGTTTTTTGTGAGTGTTGGATTAATAGAGAACAGAAAGTGGCCTGAAATATGCATGGGGCTATTTTGTTGGCTAGTATTTTGTGAATCATAAGCGAGAACTCAGCAAAATTCAGCTTTTCTGGGCTATGCATAGCTATGCAAACGATTAGTGTATTTATAGCGCTCTCTGGGTTGGAGGACATCAAATAACTATTGTGTTAAAATACACTGATCTAAGCTAAAAGTAATTAATAAAATGACCTTAGATTCTTATCCTATTTCAAATTATCTTTGGGTTGTTATAACTGAACATCATGGAGCGCAGAGAAAAAAGCATACTAAGCAACCATATCTGTTAGAAACCATGAACTGTGGCAAAGCCTTCCTATGGAGCCTTTATTTCAATTGAAATTTATAATTAATTTATTTAGCACAATAACCACTCTGTAATTTTCAAAATATCGTGTGGAAGTGGTGCTTGAAGCTGTGACGGTACAATAATTTATAGGACCAAGCATTGCACCATGTACAATGACATGCACGTCCCTTCATTTTAACTCTTTTCTGTTTGCTATCATGATTTAATTTTGGTGTATTGTTTAAAAATATGTGATGATATCATTTCCATCTTCCCACAATAATAAACCTATGCAGTCAGAGTGTTATTTTTACAAGTAATAGCTACTTGACATTTCTAAAAGGTGTACAAAGTTTACATAATGAAAGGAAATAAGCTGGCATGCATTTATTTCAAATTACATACTCTAATCCTATGGAAACTGTTTACCACCACTTTTTCTAACTCTAAAAACCTCTTTGCAGCTCATGCTTGCAGGCAGCCAGAGACACCGGCACACGTAGATGTGAAAGCAATAGATCTTCCTACTTTAGGGTATACTTTGGTGTATACCTGTCAGCCAGGATTTTTTCTTGCTGGTGGATCAGAGCATCGGACATGTAAACCAGATATGAAATGGACAGGAAAATCACCTATTTGTAAAAGTAAGTCATTACTCAAGTGATATGTTGGGCCCTACTTGGTTGGATTTCATTTTCCCTGGTGTTTTTATTTTATACAGTAGGCTTAATTTTTTCCACTTACTATTCAAAGATGCATATAGCACAAGAGCTTTTACTTTATGAAAGAAAGAGTAAGGAAATCAAAGTGAGCATAGCATCTAGAACTCATGGAGGAAAACATGGGGATATGTGTGTGTAAATGCACAGGCACACATACATAAGTTTACCCCTAACAGCAAACAAAACCTAAACAATATAAAGTGTTACTTTTAACTATATTTATCTTTATGTCACAGTTTTAAAGAGTACTTCAGTGTATTCAGTGCTTAATGTATGATTTTCTATTAGGAACAAAAAAAGTTATTTCATAGCTTGGCTTTTAGATTCATTCAGGTATGCTTTTTGTCTAAGAAAATCTTCTAAAATAAAAATCAACAATAAAAAAAAAAAATAATTACATCTTTGCACCAGATTACACTTTTTATTTATATCCATGTAAATTTCATATAGTTTTGCTAGAGTAACTCTAATTATATAATTATGAGGGCTAAATTTGCTCTTCATGTGTGTGTGAATAAACATGGCTATAAGTTCCCAATTCAGAAAAATAAAACTAATTATGTTTAGAATATGAATAAAGGAAAAATAGTCAGATGCCATGGGAAAGATGTTTGCAACCTGATTTTTAATTCTAATATGCTAAAGAATGCTAAACAGATTTGATGTTTGAACAATATTTGATTTTTCATTAGTGTATGGGTAGACTTCTTTGTTGCGACATTGTCAAGACATATGATCTACACATAAAAATTTATCTTCTTATTCTAGTTCCCTAAAGGGTGATTTTTCATGGGTACTATATAATTAATAATTTGAGATAAACAATTTTCTGGTTTTTGTTAATTTTCTTTTTTTTTTTTTAAATTATACTTACAGTCTGTAAGTATAATTCTCCTTGAGTGCTGCACAGTTTTGTGCTGTCTTAGCACTTGATCAGTCTAATCAGTGAATTTCTGCACCTAAAGAAAAAAAACATGCAAGACCAAATCTTCCAATGGGACATTAGCCTTTTTAAAGCGGCTGAATATGTGAGGCCAGAGCTTGATCTGGGGGGAATGGACACAACTGTGCTGAGTGTACCAGAAAAATAGTAAATGACACCAGTTGTGATCCTTTCCCATGATATCTGATCCTGTCATCTTAATCTAGCTATCTGGCTTTTGCTGGTTTGTTCATAAATGTATCAATCTTTATTAACACAAGTTTTACTATAGTTAATATACTATTCTTCATAATTAGATATAGTATTTGTCCCCTCTATAAGGCTCTCTTTTATAGCACTGGGACTGATATAAAAATTTGAGGCCTAATTGTATGAAATACTTGGCTAGCCAGACAACTTTCCGCAGTAAAATGTTGTTTACCTAAATTATTTTCTGATAGTTTTGAGTAAGTATATAGGTTTGAACATGTAAAGTATTTCAGACCAGTTATTTCTGTTTTAAATGTGGCTCTATTGGATAAGAGATGATTGCATCCAGCAGACATTGTTTTAACATTCTATTTAAAAAAAACCAAACAAATATGTTCATGAAAATGATAATTTGTCTTTTTACTTGTAGGTAAAGGAGTGAGAGAAGTTAATGAAACAATAACTAAAACTCCAGGTTTGTATACAAGAGTTTTAGATCCAAATAAATTAAATTGATTTACACCCTGGATTGTTATGGATAATAAAACTATTTCCAGCATTTAACTTAAGTATTTATTACTCTTTTCAAAGGAATATTAATGTTGAGGTCTTTCATAATAACAGGTGCCATGTAAAACGCTATTCTGTGAAATTCTTTCCCAAACATTTTTTTAATTTCTACGGTAACAGGTTTGTGAATTGCACAAAAAATCCTGTCAAACCAAAAAGATAAAGCATATACACACAGACCCCACATTTGATGTAGTTTTATATCAGAGAGATTGCTATAATGGAGAGCCTTATAATGAGTAGATGATAATTGCAGGGACTGGGTTCAGTCAAAGTTCTGCCCTTTACATTGCAAGTGTTGTAAGAAACCACAAAAAACCCAACCAAACAAAAAAAAACCAAAAAGTTTTGGAAATTCTGATGGCCACCTTTTCATGGAAACTCTCGAGGTACTCTGAGACAGGGTTTCCTAAACTGTGTGGGCCACCAGGAGGAAGCAAATATTACTGGTGCTTTTCTATGCTTCCTCATGAACATGTGTGCAGTTAAGTTTTTCCTCCTGCCAGTGACAAAATAGACAAATACATCTGAGAAATCCTTGATGTAGATCTTTTTAGGTTCAATCATTTTCAGAAAATGAAAGGCCTAATTTTTTTTTGCTGACTTGTTTAACAGCGAGCAGAGTTTTCACCAAATAAATGAGCTTGCAACTCTGTATTCTGAATTTTAGCAAGCTGCAGGGAGAATAAGATTAATGGTTCACACTCATGGCAGTGCACAGAAGGACTCTGTAGAGTAGATGGGATAAAAAGGTATTTCTGCTAATAATTAACCTTCCTGGTGCGTTTATTAGTGAGAGTGTCAGGTGAAACCATAAATGAGTTCTTCTCAAATGCATTACTTCTACAGACTCACAATAAAGCAGGATATAATGTGTATTCATTATAATTAATATACAGTCTTCATTTATTGGAGGATTCACCTCACTGAACACCTAAAGTATGCATTAATCTGCTACCACACAGGTTTTGAAGTTTCAATGCCAGATTAAAATATAGACCAAGTCTCCAAATATATTCACTGTGCAGAGCATTGGTATCAATTCACACCACATCATGTCCCTTTTAACTAGTTTTGATAAGTAAGTACTATTTGAAAGGCATTTAAAAAAAAAAAAAAAGAGATGTTACGATTGAAAGTGCCAATAATAGTAAGCAGAGAACTGAAACTAACAAATGACAGTAATTAACAAGGAAAAGTTTTAAGCTGTTTTTAAAAAACAAATCTGCACTATTATTATGTCTTTTAAAATTTTGACTCTCATTAGTATAGAATATTATGTATTTTGGAGCATTTCCTGTACCTTGTTATCTTGGTTTTTGGTAGAATTCCATTTGCTGCTATCTGTATTTTGAATGGAATGAAGCTAATATTGCTAAACTACAGTTTTTGTAACAGAATAGATTCATGTTCTGATTTCCCACCTTTGGATATCTGAATACAGATTATGTCTATTAAATTGCTGGGTTTTTTGCCAGAGTTAATGTTTTCATAAGCAATAGTAACTATCATTTTTACAGTACTGTAAATTGCAATTGAATATAAGTTGCAGCTAAAGAATTCTCACAATACCCACGTGAAGTTTAAGAACTACAATACCCTTTTTGGTTCCCATGGTTCTTACTGCTTTGTAGAGTCCTTGCAAAAATAGTTAGGAAGCTGGTTTAATGAGTAGCCATGGATTTCCCCGTTTGTCATGTTCTGAGGAGAATCCGCTGTTGGTGCAGTATTAGTATAATAACACCCAGTTCATTTTTCTCATTCTGCATTTGTGCACAGTGGGTGGGAAAGGCAGGGACGTTGCAAGAATTCGGCAGAATTGAGTCAGAGCCACTCCAATTCCTCAGCATCCATGGGGTTGCAGCACTTGCATTTTAACCTTTTACAAAAACATGACTGGGGAAGCAGAAATATATTTTCTTCCCCTACCGATTCTGTCTATCTGCAGCAGGTGCAAAATCTGTAACTACTGAATCAATGGTACTATTTCACAAAGATTAGCAGCTATTATTGATAGTTAGAGAGGTTAGAGAAACTGGATACTGAAAATGTTGAATGTGACAAAAGAAGTATGGTGTCTGCTCCTTTAGAAAAATCTTTCATAGTACCTATCAGGTTTACAGCAGTAATAATAGATAGTCACCTTTGAGAATAACTTCAGACAAAATTTTAATTAAAAGCAAAGACAAATAAAAATAATGTTAATAGATTTTTAAAATGGCAGGTTTCAAAATTTACTGTATGTCACTATTGTAGCAAAGCAATGAGAAATATGTAGGAAAAAGAGTTTGAAAGACCCTTCACAGAATTCATATAGTTGCAGAAAATACATGAATTTTAGGGACTGTGAGATACCAATTGAAATTTAATGCTTCAGACTTTTAGTTTTAAATTGAGGTTACCTTGTATAAAGCCCCAGTCCTGCACTGAGTTTTACTTTGGGAAGGGAGCACCTAAGATTCTTTGAAGCTGTTGTACTGAAAGCCATATAGTGGGTCTCCACGCACTTGGAATCCAGTGGTGGTACAGACAACATCCTAATGATGATTTCAAATCATGCCATATTAAGCTTGACCATTTCCATGTGGGTTTTGCACAATTTGAAGGCAGAAGGCACTGAAGAAGTTATTATCCTTTCTCTTATGAAATGCATAGTAAGAACTGTAATAATATGATTAAGAGACAGTCAACAGCTAATCAGTCATCAGGTTTTTAGATGTACTGTCAGTATGTTTTGTTGGAAATATATGGTATTATTGACCTGGGTTTCTTTTTGATTCATTCTGGCAATCAATGGTTAGATAGAAGAGGAAATATCCATGGAATTTATTCAAAATAGATACACAGGATACCTACACTGATAAATTTCCTTCAGTATAAATGGCTGCCTTTGCACATGCTCAGAGTTGGATTAAATGCAAAGAATCTAATAATTTATTTTAAGAGTTTAGTTAGAAGAGTGTGAAACACTTCTAATATCAGTCTTTAGCTATTTAACAAGTATTGTTTGTAGTGGTCATGGATAGTAAGGGTGAATTTCAGTAGTTGCTAGGGCTGTCATTTTGTCAAGACATGATGTGATTGGTTCTTTTTATGAAGTTTTATTTTTATTCTTAAAGCATTACTTTAATTTTAATGCTAGAAAAAGGTTAGAACTAAGTGGGAAAATGTCTGTTTTCACTTGTCAGAAGCTGCCAGGAAACACTGGGTGCTGCCTGGCCAGGAGCAGGTTTAACTTAACCATCAAGTTGAAAGAAGTCTTCCCCAAATTTTATAACACCAAAATATAAGGGGGAAATACAGCAGTGTGTAGGAGAGAAATGAATGTTCAGGACATGGAGCACCTTGTAAATGTATCTGACATAAAATTTTCTCCTAAAAGTTTTTTCTCTTCTGTGTTTCCTTTTTAATTAATGTTAATATTGCAGATACTGTTGAATGAGACAGTTTTTCTACTCTGTGAGTGATTTACCCAAATATTTAAAATACAACATTTAATGACCTATAAATAATTTTTTTTCTGTATAGAGGAAAAATACCAATAACGTCAAGTAAATGACCCAAATACATACACACCTTCCTGTAATTCATGCGTCATTTTGTAGGTTTTTTACTTCAGATTATTCAAGCTGCAGTTTCTGAGAAACAGACTTTTATTTTAAATCAAAAAAGTTCCCTGCTCTGACAACTTCACTGTTCACAGGTGCAGTTATATTGTCTGGAGAAAAGATACGACGTCTAAAAATGACCGATAAAAACCTTGTGCTAAACTGTATCTGGGATTCAGTGAATTCAGTTGATATTCAGTTGAAAAATCACACACAGTGCTGCTTTAGTAGATTCATGAAACAAAAGGGATGGCCTCAGACAGTGTCTCCTTCCACGAATCCCTGACTTCAGAATATTCTCCTTTTTTCCATCTTACCTTAAAGCTACAGGGCTTTAGGGGAAGAGTCCATTATTTTTCTTAGTCTTGAGGACATTTCACTGAAGCACACAAGCTCTGAAGTATGAGGTCATTTAAGAACATATATTGTAATGGACAGGTGTAGTATATTATAGGCAATTGTGTGGAAAGGTCATTAGATACATTGTCTTTACTGTTGTAAAATTTTTGCTATAATACCTCCTTAGAACAGTGGATTGATGCTCTAACAGAAAAAATGAAGAACATAAGTATGGCTAGAAAGATTGCTACTTTGTTGTAGTTTATTCCTTTCTTTGTTTCTTTTTTGCCCACTTTTATTCAGTTCCCTCAGATGTGTTTTTTATAAATTCACTGTGGAAAGGGTTTTATGAATATTTAGGAAAAAGACAGCCTGCTACGCTGACTGTTGATTGGTTCAATACTACAAGCAGCAAAGTGAATGCCACATTCATTGAGGCATCCAACATACAACTCAAACTATCAGGTAGGTTCAGAATTTGGTGTTAAAAAAGCTGTTCTTTCAATTTTTTTCATCTGTTCAGTTTTGTTATATTTTCTGCCAAACACAAAATGAAACAAAACCTTCGTTTGCACTAAAAATATTTTCCTTTTTATTTTGTGAAAGAAAGGTCCTCATATAATGGTCTGCACAGATTTCAGTCTGTTTATATGCGATCACCCATCTGTTTTTCCCCTTACGTTTTAAAGGTTGAGGTAGGGTTTTTTCATCTCAGACTGTTGGATGATATTGATGTGTTGGACTCACAGGTAATACTGAAGTAGCAGACAAAGTGTATAGAGGCGTTTTAAGAGCTGTACCACTGAAAAGCTCCGTTATTCAATAGTGATTAATATCTGCTTTAAAACAATATTGATAATCTGTCTTGATAATGGCATAACATAACATAGGCACTGATAATTAAATTACTTAGTAAATTATGCATATCTTTTAATCAACATTGTGCATTCCTTTCTGCAAATCTGACTGTGAAGTTCTGATTTAGCCTCTGATCACAGTAATATTTGGAAAGAGCATTATCAGCTATCAGTACCTTTTAAGGTGAAGAGTTCGGAGAAAATTTCAGTAGTTGGCTGCCAAATACCAAATTTTCTTTCACTGTGCTATTGATATTTACTATAACAATATACTGTTGTGATGTGAGCAAAATCCAGTTTTTTCCAGTTCAAGGAAATTCCAGGCAAGGAACTCTGTCCGTATTCAGAATTATTGAAATACTGTGTGAAAGGACAAATATTCTTGCCCATTTATGTATAAAATTAAACAGTACAAAATCATCTTTGCATCTTGTTATCAAATATGATGTGGGCAAGAGATCAGTAAAGTAAGATCCTGCTATTACAGCACTTTAAATCTTGGTTTTTTCCAGGCTATAAAATTCTGTTATCACAGAATATTTTCTAGAAAATATTTTAGTTCTAAAGCAATATACTTGACTTTGAAAGGATATTTGAACAAAATGCTTGAAAAATTGTTTAAAAGGCATGTGTTGCCTCCTTTATGTTAATAGGTGTTTACAAGAAAGAAGAAGCCCATTTGCTCTTGAAAGTTTTTCAGATTAAAGGACCTAGTGACATTTTTGTAAGCAAGTTTGAAAACGACAACTGGGCACTAAATGGTTATGTAAGTAACTAGACCTTGAAACCAGCTATGGATGAAGCTTGTTGAGTTTAAAGTTTGAAATAATTTGTGATTTCCTATGTGATGCTATCCAACTTTTTATATTACAAATATGGAATACAGCACTCTAGATGTCTGTGTAGAGATCACAGTATTTTTCTTTTCAAAAATCTATATACAAACTTCTATCTGCCACACTCCCATTAGAATTTTTAGTTTACTAAGGGGAAGTTGGAGTCAATTAGCATATTTTGCCATGCCTTTGCCTTGTTTTCTTAGATGAGAGCGGAAATTTTAACTTTAGAAATATTGTCATTTTTTGGTTTGGTAAATAGTTCACTGTAAGAAAATTACATTTAATTTTGAAGAAAAAGAGATTTATTTTACTCTTTGCGGTTCTACTTTGTGCCACTTGATGCTTTCTATGGAAAATAATTTAAGATCTGACAATTCAGTGGACTTCTATATCCATATACTAATTTGATTATGTGTATGCCAGTTAAAGAATTTTTAAATCCAGTAATATACATCAGATATTTAAAAGTCTTTCCAGGTATTATTTTGAAACTTTGTTTAATACTGTTGCAAACTTAAAGTGATAAATACTGTGTAAGCATAGAGAATTCACTAATGTTTTAAAGGATAAAAGTGAACATCTGGGCTCCATATATCTACTCTAAGTCAGAAAAACAAATGACTAAACATTCTTATTTGTTTCAGAAATCTTTTTTCTGTTTCAATGTATTCTAGGTATCCTCAGGGCTTGAAAGAGGTGTTTTTACCTATCAAGGTGATATACATGGAAAAGACTTTGGAAAATTTATGCTCCAAAGACAAGGTAAATGCATTCATAGAGCTTTAATATGTATAATCTTTTTGGGTCTTGCAAGAGTGAATTCAACAAACGACTCAGCTATCTAGCTGAAGTAAGCATGTGTATTTCATGCCATTGTCACTGTAAAAAATATAGTGAAATATGCATATTTGAAATATACAGTTCAAATCTGAATTTAACTCTGCTTAATATGTTACTCTCTCATGTTTTCTAGTACAGCAACCTAATAAGATGACTCCAGGATACTCTTAAAAGACAATTCCATTGCAACTGCTCGCTTTTCTATGAATGTGTTTTTGAAAGTAACATGGGTGTCATGCAATGCAAAGACATTTTCTGCTCAAAGCTATAAATTGCAATCAGAGTCATATAGGAAATAAAAAGGACAGAATCAACACTGATTTTAATAATGACACTATTAAAAGTGCTTGTTGCTGGAGGATGTTTTCAGAATGTATATGTATTTAGATAGAATTCTACTTCGCTGTCAAAAATATGAAATGAGTGACTGAGGTGTATATTACAGCTATGGACTCGAATGTTCTAGCAACTGGTGAAAAACTTGTTATTTTATTAATAAAATAATTTTGCCATAAAAACTAATAAAACATTTACTCATGAAGTATTTACTCATAAAATAGTTTTGGCAAATACCAAGTGTAGACATCTGCATTTCCTGATCCTGGAACTACTGGAGAGTGGTCAAAGCATGGTATGTATACAGCAAAGTATTGGGCTAGGAGAAGGAGATGGACTAGTCAATATGTCTATAGCAGACATTTTATAATTTTCTATTTTCTATTATCTACATTTTATACATTACCTTGGTTCCATTACCTTCATTGATGCTGTACCAAATGCCCTTTAAAGTTCTGCCAAATCTCCGTGGAATATCTTTGCTCTATTGACTTCTGTAATAGCAATTATGCTGTGGATTTGCTCATCTTGGCCACCTCTCAAATTGCTATATATGTTTAGTAACAAGGGGTGAAAACCTTACTCTTCAAAGTCTCAGCATAACAACTGATAATTACTGAAGCCAAATACAATTTCAGTCTTCAGAGTAAACTCTTGTGTGGGAGAGATTATTTGTCTGCCTGTACTTTTGCATAAACCTTATCACTGTAATATCTAAGCTTCCTTTTCTTTCTGGTTTTAACAAGCACACTGTAAAAGTAGAGCATCAGGATTTGTTCAAACATCTGTCTTGTTTAGCACTCTTTGATATCTAACAGTGAGAGTCTTTTTGTTGGTTTTGTTTGGGGGCGGGGTGTTGCTTTTTTTCCTTCAGTCAGGCCAAAAAAGATATCCATGGTTTGCCAGCTACCTAATAGAAATTTGGATCCATGTGTTTTAGCAGTGAAATGAGTATCTCATGGGGGTATATGAAGAACAAGCAGAATGACAATTTGACAGTTAGAGCATTCCACAGTGGATGTGTTCTGTGGTAGCAGAAAACGTCCATATCACCGTTTAGAGTTGCAATGTGAAAGCTCAGTTTGTATATTCCCAGGGCTAGTAAGGAGCCAAAGTGTCCAAGTTACACATGCATTCCTAGGCTGAGGGTCTCTTGTCTTCAGCTTTGACATCTCAAGCAGACAGCTTGCTACAAATGCAGGTACTGTCTCTTTTAGAAAATTTCTTTATGTGATTACTGAATAGATTGTAGGTTGCTTGTTCTCTATTGAAAAACCTACAACTGTAAGGAAACGGTGAATTTCCAGCCAACACAGGTCATAATATTTGTCCATACTCTCTCATATTCAAGTATAACTTGCCTTGTCTTTTAAATCTATTCTGTTCATGAATATTCTGCTGAGGTAATGATCTCATGTCCTCCAGCTGAAGACTTAACATATTTCCATTTCTTCAGGAAGTTCAATTATTTGCTGCCTTTACACTAAGCCAGAAGTATGCATAAACTATGCATGCACTGGTGCATACATAATGTAGTATGAAATTCTTCACCTGCAAGCGTACTTCAAAGAGCAGCATTTACTCAGAAATACTTGGTTAAGTGTGAAAGATCTCTTTGATGAAAAACTCCCTATCACACAAGAGTAGAGAAAGACCAGGCTCAGTGGATATGCCCAGTCTTGGAACTTAGTGACATGGAAACAGAAAGAACTTTTGTTTCTAAGTACTGTTTGTCCTCTCTCAGAAGAAATTCTCTTTGCTTGTAGTCTTAGAGAATAACCCAAAGGGCAGAGATGTCTGTTATCAGTCTGCCAAAAGAATTAGGAGTGTATGTGAACCTGCTCAAGGGGCCCAAGTTGTGACACCAAATTATTTAACCTGTTTTGTCAAGTAATCAGTCATTGCTGGGGCTTTTTGTTTGTTTTGTTATGTTTTAATGACTTGGTCTCTAAAGGCTGCAAGTCTGCAGCTACGTTCAGTTTCTGTAATTGCTGAGTGCCTGTGCCTCACCACACCAGTTCCAGAAGAAGTTTATTCTAAAATCTTGACCTTATTCGTTCCAGTCTGGGCTGTCCTTTACAACTGTATGAAAAGGTGGCTTTGTGAGAAGACAAACTTACTTCACCAAATGGTTGTTTTCCTATATTTATTTCCTCTGGGGAAATAGAATGACCTTTAGCTTGTCTAGATTGAGATAACAAGTATCAATGAGAAATATGAAGTATGAAAAATTAATTTTCATCTGTGATATATAAGATCAATAGTTGTGAAATGCATGTTCATTTCTTGAAACGGATCAACTCTTAAAAGCATTGAACATCATGAGACGTGTGAATTCTAAAGTTTACTCTAATAAAGGTGTCATCCTTCCTCTTCAGATCATTTTGTACAACTTTCATCATTCATGAAGAAACTCTACATCTAAACAGAATACTCACAGCTTCAGATTGTGCATTAGCTAGTGCACAAATAGGTAGCTAGGACTAATGAGCTACAAGACTATCTATTAATACACTCCTCACACTCAATGTGATACCCAAAGTGTCTTTGCTATCCAACAGTTGTCAGTCAGGTGAAGAAGTTACAGACTCTGGTGGTCTTTAGAAGCTGCTGTCTTGCTTTCCATGTCAGTATTTTTTCTCTTAAATCATAGAATCATAGAATGGTTTGGTTGGAAGGGACCTTAAAGATAACTAGTTCCAACCCTCTTGCCATGGGCAGGGACACCTTACTACACCAGGTTGCTCACAGCCCCATCCAACCTGGCCTTGAACACTTCCAGGGATGGGGCAGCCACAACTTCCCTGGGCAACCTGTGCCACTGCCTCACCACCCTCACAGTGAAGAATTTCTTCCTAATTTCTAATCTAAATCTTCCTTCTTACATCTTAAAGCCATTGTCCCTTGTCCTATCACTCCATGCCCTTGTAAAAAGTCCCTCCCCAGCTTTCTTGTCGGCCCCTTTAGGTACTGGAAGGCTGCTCTAAGGTCTCCCCGGAGCTTTCTCTTCTCCAGGCTGAACAACCCCAACTCTCTCAGCCTGTCCTCACAGCAGAGGTGCTCCAGCCCTCGGATCATCTTCGTGGCCTCCTCTGGACTCGCTCCAACAGGTCCATGTCCTTCTTGTGCTGAGGACCCCAGAGCTGAAGGCAGTACTGCAGGGGGGTCTCACCAGAGCGGAGCAGAGGGGCAGAATCCCCTCCCTCGACCTGCTGGTCACACTGCTTGGGATGCAACCCAGGACACGGTTGGCTTTCTGGGCTGCCAGCGCACATTGTCGGGTCATGGTGAGCTTCTCATCAACAAATCCTTGAGCTGTGAACCATCCTTGTCTCTGAAATTACTCTTCTACCTGTAATTCTACTTTTCTTATCTTGCATGGCTTTTGCTGGCACACTTTCTCCTGCTTCAACAGCAGTTCTTTTAGTAAAACTGAGCCATGCTGTACTGATGCCAGACAGTTGAAACCTTGGGCTAGGAGTTACAGGGGAAATGCATTTGAAAGCTCCAAAAAATGATAAAGAAATGTTCTTAATGAATATTTTCTTACAAAAAAGTATTGTTTGCTAGCATGTATAAAGGAGAAAACCCAGTAACCACCTAAAGGGTAGAGGTACACAGCTTGAGCAATAATGACTTCACTATGTATTATCAGAGTTTGAACTTCACCTGACTGCTGCTGGTTTTAGGAGGCTAAAGAAACCCTTGTTATTCTGTGAGATGTTTAAAAAACATTTATAATCTTACTGAATATACCTCTATTAAATAACAAGTTTCACAGTGACAAAGTATGGCTTTTTTAATGAAAAGTAAAGCAAACTATCTTTTGCATTTTTTTTGTGTCTATTAGCATGCAGATATTTCCACGTTTCCGGATTTTAGCTGTGGTAGCAATGAATACCTAAATTAGAGCAGTACAATAGGCTTTGCCATTTCTCATCATGATTACACTGTCAAATACAAAGTTCACATCAGGATACGTTTAATTACAAACAGCTCTGAAAATGATTGTAATAAGTAGACCAGGCTGTGTTGAAGTTATATTGAGTCTTATACAAAATACAAATTATCCAGAATTGCAGCAAAGTTTCTCTTCCATAATGAAAAGCACACCCAATGCGCAGTCCAAACCTGAGCAACACTCCTCCAATGCCAATTAAAGGTTGTAAACATCAGATAAAAATTTCAAGCTTGATTACCCTAAATGTGGTACTTAAAAAAACTGTAGAGATATAGAATATTCAGTTACCTCCAACAGGAGTTTTGAGTACTAAGTATTAAATGTGAGTCATTTTAAGTTATTGAACAAAGATAACTTAAAAGGAAATTATCTAAATATAAGTTTGTAGCCTAGTTTTAAATGTTCAGTTAAACAAAAAAAAATTGTATTTAAATTAAAAAAAAATTCCATACCAAAACTTCATGCTATGAATTACTTATTATGAATTTCAAACTACTATTTTGGTTTAACTGAATTCTGATTAGATATTTTATAATTTTCTCTGCTACTTATATATTAAAATGTATCTGTCTCATGTGCCATGATAAAAGCTTTGAGATATAAATTGAGAGTTCATTGATCATACGTATTTCTGTTTGGTTTGGTACTTGGTTAGAATTTTAAATAAGAGTTAGAATAGTAATTCCAGGTTTTTCCTGATATAAGCTGACTACAATGAATTTGATCATTACCATATTTTTTATTAATTACTCCAAATAATTGCGAAAACAGGTGGGGACTGTGGTAGTAAGGGATGAAGACAGTGATAACTGCATGCAGTTTTTTTAAACTTCCATTACTTCTTCTAACCAATAAAAAATTCAAAGGAGCATTTTAAGTTAACATTTCTTAAACTTTTCTTAACTGTGGTAACTACTTAATTCTATCTGTCTTTAATTTAGATTGGTTGGAGAGTGTCCAGTACATGTACAATACAATACAAATACATAAAATTATGCCAACAGGCCCTCCACGCCTTGAGTGTTGGGACAAATGTTGGATTAAAGTCGAAAGATTTTTATAATACACTGTTTCTGCTCTAAAACTGTTCAATGATAATTAAGGTACTCCACAGTAGTTTGATAAAGCTCATAACATGACCCGAACTACCAGAGTAGTAGGTTTATTAATTTGAAAAGGTTTGCCTTCACCAGTTCTGCAGAGAAATACACAGAAGTCTGAAATGTGACAGAAGGTTAAGGCAGTGAAAAAACATTGAAATACAGTATTTTGTCATGTTTAGCGAGCAAATCTGGCAATTCTGAAATGTTTAGGGGAGCTGTCTTCATTTTAAAGGGAACTTAATTACTTCCTAGAATGTAACAAATTTTGTAAAATGAATTGCACAAAATGTATTATAATATTAGCAATTGAAACGTTTGAGTTTTAAAAATATCTAACAGGACAAAAACTCACCTTGTTCCTCTTTCTCATTGAGCTTGAACTGCAAGAAATAATAGGTGTATGAGATATTTTCATAGACTGCTGAAAGCAGCACAGTGGCTCTGTCTCTGCTATATAACTGGTCAGTGCTAGAGTCCTAAAAAGACTGATAGATGCTGTTGCCATCAATGAGGGAATCGTGCTGTCCCTCTGTCCTGGTCTCTCCTCCTTGGATAGCATCTATATGTTGCTCTCCAAAGAGCTGGGAGTTCAAACTGGCAACATGGAGTTAGCTCTCAAAATACATTTTTTGTTCTATAAAAATTTTCTATATTTTTTACTATAAAATTATTTTTCATCCTTCACAATTTGAATCGTCAGTTGGCCACCTATTTAAGCAGTTTAACAATGTCTGCCTTTATACTGAAGGAAAAATGGGTTCTGCAAAATGCCTTACGGTCCGGGTTATCTGCTCATCCACAACAGGAACCCAGCAAAGCCGTGCTACAAGCAACTGGCCGCCTTTCAATTCTCTGTACCTCCATTTTATCCCAGTGCGAACACAGCTGCCAGACGCTCTAAAATGTGCTCATGTCTCACCCCCAAAAAGGGGTTGTAAAGCGACCAGGACATGCACACGGGTGCACAGACTTGGGAGTGGTGTTGAGCCAAGCAAAACCTTTGTGGCTTATTGGAGTTACCTCAGTTTTCTCTTCCTTTTTCATGTTGAGGTCTTGCATTGCTTGTTGTTTCTAAGCTGAACATTAGGACTGCAGGCATAGAATACTTTTTGCAGTATTAATAATTTTTTTTGCAGAAGGTATATGGCTTACCTTTATTAAATTAGTGACTCGTGAGAGGTGTAGTTCATAATTATTTTACTTGCTGAATACTGTTTTCAAATCATGTTCATAGTTATTGATACATTATTAAGTGGTATTAAGAAGATTAATAATATGATACTGCATGCTATTTATTTCATGTTTTTAAATAGAATTATTTTATCAAGACAGCATTTTCTTTCGTTCTTGAATAAAAAGAAAACTGTGAGAGAGAAATCCTGGGAATTTTATTTCTGCCCTTTCTGTTTCATTTCAGGTCCTTTAAGTGCAGACACAGACCTTTCAAATCACTATTACGGTACAAACAGCAGTTCTGTTGCAGCTGCCATCCTGGTACCATTCTTTGCTCTAATATTATCAGGGTTTGCATTTTACCTCTACAAACACAGGTATTGTAAACGTTATTTATTCAGTAACTTAATAAGCTTTTTGTTTTAGTTTTGGTAGGTAACTGTAACTAGAGAACACAATGTTAAAGCTTTCAAGAATATCTTTACTCTGGAAAGAAAAATATTTCTAAGTATTCCCTCAAAGGGGTTCAGTGCAGGGCGGTTCTTAATGGTGAACAATTAGAAAAACGAGTCACTGTGTTAAGGAGCAAAGACCTATCAGCCTTCTTGGTTCATTAGGCTGAATCAGATTGAAATCTCAGGTCACATGTTTTATTTTTTCATTTTAATGCTTTATTAAATTGAATGTATGCTGCTTCTTTCAAAATGCTTATAAGTATTAATTATACAAGCTGAAAAATCTATAAATCCCATGAGGGAACAGCCCGTAATGAGACTACTTACAGTACATGCTGACTAAGCTAGTGGATACTACTAGAATTGGCATCACTTCAGCTCATATGGAACTTTTATATGTCATTAGATAATAGAATAAATCCAACCATCATGTCTGAAATTTGGTTTAAAAGCTGATATCTATCTATCTTTCGAATGTCTGTTCATTCTGAGCGCTATTTGGCTAGAGCTTTCTGAAACAATTCTTACTTTTTTGTATTGAGCTACAATACTCTCTGACCTCCTTGTGTTATTAGCAGTTCGCAAAATGCTGTTTAACAGAAATGCTGATTTTTAATAACATGCTTTTAAAACTTGTTCTATAATCGTGATACCAAGAGATTTCATGATTGTAAGAAATCACACAGACAAACTGAAGTCCACCATTGCCCTATGATGGATTGCGCAGTCTACCTACCTCAGTATTAGACGATTTGGGAAAAAGAAATTGCAGTGGGGCTTGAACTTGTGAACACAAGTTAAAATGATAGACGTCCTGAAATGTAATACAGCCTTTTGTTGAAAAAAACTGCTGAGGAAGAGCTGTGAACTTTGTCTCAATACATGTTATTGTAAGGTGCCTTTCTGATACCTACAGATCTACATTCTCAGATAGCTCCTGTTCTTCAATGGGGGGAACCTAAAGAGCAGCATGAAAGCACAGGCATTCAGGTCGGGCAAAGAGATCGAACATAAAGGGACCATTGCTGCGACTCTGCTCTTAGAAAGTGGAGGCAAACTCTAAGAAAAAATTAATAAAACTGTATTGTGACATAGGGGTACATTTTGTGGTTTATTCTATGAAGTTTATTATGTCCTACATGAGCAGTGGAGATTCTGTTTTCTATTTAGTAGAAATATATGTGTATTTAAGAGAGAGAAAACTTAGTCTTCAGATGAGCAGCTGTAATCCCAGTGTTTATGGTACTGCTGGTGTGACATTGCAGTTCTGCCTACCTTAATCTAATTTAAATGCATTAGATACTTGAAAAAGGAGATGTTACTCATAACTTAATCTTTCAAAGAATATTCTTCCTTTTTTATATTTTCAAACAATTTCTTTTGTTAAACCACAGTTTTTAGAAGGGTTATCAGTGTCACATTGTCATCAGAAAATTAAAAAGTTGATTACTGGTGTAAAGTAACTTTAGGTCACCTTTATTCTCTTCAAAACAAAGGATGTTCCAAAGGAAAGAGAACAGAATCTGTGACTTTTGAAGGCACTTGCCTTGAAATTATCTTAACGACCAGAATAACAACATGAAATTTTCACAATTATGTGATAGTAGTTATGCCCCTAGAGGCTCTCTATATCAGAGAGTTTGAAGGTCTTCTTAGGGGACGATTTTATGGATGTTTCTGCTGTGCCTATGTCAGATTAATATCATCTAATTAGAGCCAGCGTTGTTAAACCTTTTTTACACAGTTTCCGTACCTTTTATCTGACAGACAGGGATTGCTTCAGGAATGAAGACAGCATCTCAGTCTTTGTGAACAAAATTAAAATATATTTAATTACTCACACTTAGGAAATCTCCTAGTTAAGATTTGTAAGCATGTTTTTTTACTTCTAAAATGAAAATATGCAGAAAAAGACATATTTATGAGTAACAGAATTATTTGAAGGTTGTCAGTTTCCATTACTGACATCTTTCCAGTGATAGTTTTCCCTATCTGCTATCCAAAACAGAATCATTTTCTAAAAAACTTTTATTTTCAAGAGCCCTTTTCTGAAATTTTATGAGATTATTTTCTGAATTGTTTTACACTTATTAAGCACCAAGCATCTACATTTTGCACTCCTTTGTTGACCTTCTTGCCCTATTTCAATTATGTGTATAAAATTATATACTGAACCTTTTTATATATTTGTTTAGATACTTTTTATGCTAAAAGATTTAAGGTTACAGTAGTAAAGCATAATATAATAGGATATAATTTTACTGGATATATCAGAAAGTCTGCACAATCCTGTTTTATTTTTTATTTAATTATTACTTAATAAGTTCTAACAGAACTTTGCATAAAAATGTGAACACCCTTGAAGTTTTGATCTGTTCTCCATGGTGGTAAAACACTATCCAAAATAGAAGAGTGGTTACTGAAAGATAATTCTTTGTATTCTTTGATATTCAAATGTCAAAATTTATGTGGATATTAGTTAGGATTTGATCAATCTGAGTACGTATGTTTGGATGTAGAAAATCTCTGTCGAGGTATTTAGTAGTGTTTATTGTTGGAAGTATTTATGTAGGTAAGCAGGCATGCTATGGCAGATCTATCTGGAATAAATGAAATTACTGACCCTTATCTGAAGGTTACTACCATTAGCAGTGCAACACACTGTGGACACTTGCTATGTCAGTTGTGGTGGGTTGACCCTGGCTGGGCACTGGCTGCCCACCAAAGCCGCTCTATCACTGCCTTCCTCAGCTGGATGGGGGGGAAATATAACAAAAGGGTCACGGGTTGAGATAAGGACAGGGAGAGATCACTCACCAATTACCATCATGGGTAAAACAGACTCGACTTAGGTAAATTAGTTTCATTTCTTACCAATCAAATCAGAGTA